ATACACACACACACACACGCACACGCACACGCACACGCACACGCACACGCACACGCGCACACACACACACACATACATACAGACATTTTTTAGGAATATGATTTTTCGACGTTTTGGAACATTCTAAACACATTGGCATAGAAAACTCGAAAAAAAATTTTGTCACGAAAACAAAGCTTCCTCTATGAGGAAGCAATAACATTTACTAATATCTCGCAGTAATTTGTTTAAATTTATATGCAAATATGAAATCAGTATTGTCATCACATAAAGCATAAAAAGTCGAAATACTTATTCAAACACCGTATTTAAATGAGAAGTGTTTATCCATAGGACATTACAGAACATCTTTTATATAATAAGAACATAGTTTTCATTCTTGAAAAATATAACTTTAAACTTTTTTCGAATACTGCATGCAAATTATAGTAAACATTGATTCTATATTTTGGTTCTGAGAATAATGAAACTATACCTAACGACGCTGTACAATCATGGCATTCAACACTTTCTCTTCTTCCTCATCCACGATTAAAGTTACTGAGTAACTTTTACTTCTTACTCGATGCTCCGGACAAATCCTTGCCTTCACAGTGCACTTTGAACTCTCTCGTTTTAGGCAGACATATCCTATTGCTGAATCTCCATATGTTTCTCGACATGCCCTGTATTTAAAATTATTTTGTACATTTAGGACTAGTTGTTCAAACACTGATTAATAAATATGTACTTTCAACAGACAATTAAAAACATAACCTTAAAATATACATAAAACACACAGACCTTTGTATTTAAAAGTAGATATATATTTTAACTACAGATACAACAATTGAGTCTTAATATAAATTAATGAATTTCTTGTTATGTATACTTACGCAGATGTTTTTACTCCTCGCATTTCGGCAGCATTAAAGCGGTCGTCTTCTCTAATAAATTGATACACCATTAGCGCATCAATTTTTGGCAGATTTGTTGAATTTGCCTTAACATACCCTGTTTCCATTTTACTCAGTTCGTTAACTACTATTTTTCTTTAAAAAGGGTCAAAAACGTTAACAATCTTCTTGTTCCCTGTACTAGACCGACGTCTTAGTAACAAAGTGACGTCACGCACGAACTAACCAATAACGAAGCGTTTACAAGCCACGTGAAAATTTTAAATTTTAACCATCTTTCTTTATTTATTTTAAATTATTTATTGTTGATGGAAAATCTTCAAAGTTTGGAAATAATATTTTTATAATATATACTTTTGATTAAAAATAAAATTTATTTGACATTTTTTTTTATAATACCCTATTATTGGCCACTTGTCAAGCAAGTCTCACCAGAAGTAAGTGCTGAAGAGCAGAAAATGATCAGTGATCTCATGTATGAATACTATCAACAATTGAAAAATAACGACAAACTTGTATTCAATATTGACAAAATTGATTCTATTGATGATGAGACATTTAAAACATGGTTTTCTTACGATAAAGAAGAATTCCATCAAATCTGTAGTTTCACCAAAACTTGTGAGCCAAAGCATGTTGCTGTTTTCTTATGCAAGTTACGTACTGCCCTTTCTAATACCCAACTAGCTTTTTTATTTGGAGTGTGCGAGCAAACGATTGCCAATCACATGAATTTAGCAAGAAAGGATCTTCATAATAATTTAGTTCCGAACTTCATTAATTACAACGATCGTTCAGTATTGATCGCTCATAATACTCCAATGGCAAAAACACTATTTGATATTCCCTATGATAAAGCGTGTAGTATATTTGATGCCACCTACCGTCTTGCACAAAAATCAAAGAATTATGTGGGACAAAAGCAACTGTGGAGTGAGCAGAAAAAAATGCCACTTATCAAACCTATGGTGGGTTGTTCACCTGACGGTTGGGTACTTTTTGTTCTTGGACCATTTGACGCAATTCACAATGATGCAACTATATTAAAAGATTGTTTCAACAGATATTTAGATGAAATGAGCATCATTCATGAAAACGATATCGTTTTACTCGACAGAGATTTTCGTGATGTTGTGAATTTCTTAACTACCAATAAGAAATTACATGTTTATTGTCCCGGGCTTGGTCAACTTGATACCATTGAAGCAAATTCCTCAAGATTTGTCACCAAATGTCGCTGGGTAATCGAACAAGTTTTTGGTCGACTTAAAAAGAAATTCAAAATCTTTTCTGTGCCAGCTCATAATGCTACTTTGGCGGACGATTATGAATCTCTTCTGATTGCTTTTGCTCTTCTAAACATGTTCCACAAACCAATTCTAAGTGACAAAAGTCATGAAGACATTGCGCATATAATGAAATCTCGAGTAAACGTTCCTAATCGTTTGAAAGTCGTTGCTCAGGAATTCAATCTTTCTCAAGTCAAATCACCATACCTTGAGCTTCAATATAGAGCAATTGATAATGAGGAAAATAATCGACAACTTCAATTCCCTCAGCTCACAATGGATGATTTATATTACCTCAGTCTCGGCCCATACCAAATAAGAAATGCGATCTCGTATTATGCAGAGCATCAAAAAGAGGGGACTTTTCTAGTGCGGAAGTTTGAACCAAACCCTAGACATTCAACTACAGCCTTAGTCTATGCAAGGTATGGGATTTCAGTTGAGAATCCCTTGCTAGTCAAAGCATACATGAAATCTCGATACCGTAGTGGAAAACACCATCACATTTTTGTACTCATAGATAAAACTAAAACAGGACGAGATTTAATTACAGAATATTATTGTACATGTGAATGTGGTGCTCGAACTGTCGGCTGTTGCAGTCACGTTATGACAATTGTGTGGTTCCTTCCATATGGCCAATATCATGGGATACATGTACCTAATCCTGATATATGTAATATATCCATAACCATTTCCAAGGAACAAAATCAAGGAAACTAAATCTTAGTATGTGTTTTCGTACATACATGTGGATCGATTAAATTAAAGAAATTAAAACATTCTTTAAATACATGGTCCGCCATATTAAATCGACCATTATGAATTTTACAAATCTGACTTCAAAATCATTGTCAGCATCTAGCAAAACCTCCGGGTACGAAATTTTAAATTATCGGACTGAAAGAAAAATTCGTGCTTTAAAGCGTACGGGCTGACGAGTTAATGAATTTTGACAACTTTGACCTCCCATATCTCTGGAATCAATTCTCACCTCAACTTAAAAATTTTTTGTGATTGATATCTTGTCATAAGGCATCATTTGACACACAATTCAGTTCCAATAAAGTCAGTCCCAAAAAATTAACAACGGCACCTTTGCTAAAATGTGCCAGATTTCGAAAAAGAATTTATCGTAACGACCGATGCATCAGATTATGCAATCGAAGCGATATTATCACAAGAAGAAATAGGCCAAGATCAACCAATAGCATATGCCAGTCGAATATTAGCAAAAGTCGAACAAAATTATAATACGACCGAAAAGGAACTATTAGCAATAGTATGGGCCGTTAAACATTTTCGACCGTACTTATACGGGACGAAATTTACGATAGTCACAGATCATAAATCGCTCGTATAATTATTTAATGTTACTGACCCTGGATCTCGATTAATTAGATGGAGATTAAAATTAGAAGAATACGATTACGAGATCATACACAAGGCCGGGACAGCCAACAGAAACGCTGACGCGCTAAGTCGACACGTGGCGGATGTCAACAGCGTCGAGGAGGATGAGAGCATAGACACGAAGATAACGCGAAAATACACGGAAGACGAGAAGCGACGTATTCTATACGAATATCACGATGCATCTGTGGGAGGGCATCAAGGAAAAGAGCGCACGATTAATCGAATTCGTCTAATGCACATGTGGCAAGGATTGACAAAAGATGTTGAAGATTATATAACAAAATGCGAATTTTGTCAGAAAAACAAACTATCGCGAAAAATTAAAGCACCGTCCATGATTTTCTCGCACGATGGAACAAGCGGAATTATATTGATAATTCAACTTATAAACGCCTCAATTGTACGGATGGTGTCTTGCCGAGGGCTTATGGGTTGCCAAAGATTTATAAATTGGACTGGCCACTCCGGATTATTGTGTCATCAAAAAATAGTCCGTTGCATTCTTTTGCGACCTTCCTTCAAAATATTATTTATAAGTCGATTCCTACTATTCGCAGGCATATTAAAAATAGTTTCGATTTGATTGACAAACTTTCGGGACTATTTATTGATGATAATCATAAATTGATTTCTTTGGATGTTATTTCTTTATTTACGAACATTCCAGTAGATTTAGCGAAAGCATTATAAAAAGATGGAACTACATTGAAGGGAATTCATCGATCCCACGGGACGAATTTCTGTGTGCTGTCCGATTTGTTCTTGATTCAACATTTTTTTCATTTAATGACACTTACTATAAGCAAACCTTTGGCACACCCATGGGCTCTCCGCTGTCACCTGTCATAGCGGATATCACTTTACAAGACTTAGAGAGCAGGATGATTGAGACTCTTCCATTTAAGATGTCGTTTTACATTAGATATGTTGACGATGTCGTGTTGTCGGTTCCTTCCTCTATGTTACAATTTACTCTTGACGCGTTTAACTCCGTCCATCCGAGATTACAGTTTACGCTTGAGGAGAGCATTGACAACCGTCTGAATTTTTTAGATGTCACTCTTATTGTTAAAGATAACACGATAGAGTTTGATTGGTATCACAAACCTTCTTTTTCGGGCAGATACCTTAATTTCGAGTCTCAACATCCTCTCTGCCATAAAAAGGGCACCATAATGGGTTTAGTGGATAGAGCTATTTTGTTATCCCATCCAAGATTTCAACAAAAAAATCTTGAACTTGTGATAAAAATCCTGCTGGAGAATGGTTACCCATTGTCTTTGATTTTTAAGGTCCTCTATAGGAGACTTAAAAAGATATTTTTTAACAAACGGACGACAATAACGAATGAATGTGACTCTAATGGTGACGACAATGATGACCGAAAAATGTTTTTCAGCATTCCATTTATTGCGGGAGTATCGGAACAATTGAAACATGTGGTCCGTGATCAGAATGTAATACTATCTTATACTGCTCTGAATAAACTACACTCCACTATCAAAGTTCATAAGGATCCGTTGCAGAGACAGTCACGCATGAATATCGTGTACAAGATCTCTTGTAAAGATTGTGATGCATCATATGTAGGCCAAACGGGCAGATCGTTAAAAACACGCATCAATGAACATCGCAATCACATTACAAGAAACACGTCGCAACTTTCGGTGATCACTGACCACAGACTGATGAACCACGAATTTGACTGGGAAAATGTTGAGATTTTGGATGAGGAATCTATCCTTAATAAAAGATTGATTTCCGAGATGCTATTTATAAGACACCAAAAAAATAGTCTCAACCGACAAACGGATACGGAATATCTGCATCACGCGTATACTCTAATTGTTGAAAATTTAACAAAAATTTAAAATGACCTCGTGCGCTTTATGTATTGTGCCGCCCCTGATGTACGCGAAGGCTTGATTTTCTATGTCTGTCTTATTATTATTTAAATTGTATCAGTGCGTGCTGTTTGTCTCTGACACTCAGATGTTTGTGTTTTCCTCGGTCGCGGCTCTCGTTTCGATCCAATTTGGTGAGTCTCTTTGTTACGCTTTTAATTTTCGTTTGGAAAAGAATTTATAATTAATTATCTCCAGCTCAATAATGTCCGATCACATGGACATTATGCCATCCCTTAATGGCTGGAACCGTCGAGAGACTTGCTGTGAGGACGGGAGCGGTGATTGAATGTCGGGACACACGAGGTTTTTTGTCTGTTAATCGGTTGAGGAAGATCCAAAGAAAGGATCGAAACGTTTCAAGATCATTAAAGAAGATTTTTTTCTTAATTTAACTTGGTGTATTGCGTTATTGCACCCGGCTCTTATTAGCCCGTTTCCTTTTAGTTTGTTATATTTATATCAGAGCCTTTAACTTATTATTTAATAATAATAATAATTACCACAATAGCAATTATATACGCCAAGAAAAAATATAAGACAGAAAAGAAAAGCTACCAGAAACTAATATAAATCCGATGTGCAAACCGCAAATAATTCAAGAGCACATTTACGGCACCGCAAGTGGATCGAATAGAACAGCTGAGATAGAAACCGAAACCGTGATAACTAACACTGCAATGCTATATTAAAATAAAGTAACCATAAAAAATAATTGTAAAATGCGAAAAGTGTATAGCGAAAAATATGTATATGAAAATTCACGTATAGTTAATTTTCTTTTTCCAAAGGGGGAGGGATGTCGTAACCCGACCGATTTCTTAATATTAAAAGATAAAACAAGTAAAGTAGAACAGAAAAGATTGAGAAAGAACTGACTAAAGCAAAGCATTAGAATCAGGGAAAGATCCCAAGGAAAAGTAATTAAGAAAGAATAAAAAAGTATTAATAAAATGAAAGTAAGACACGGTCAAGTTCTCGGAAGCTGAGTAAGCAG